ATCTTTGTTTTTAAAGTTGTTTTGTATGTAGAACTATGTTTTTTTTTTACTCTACGGTTACATATTTATTGCTGTTTTTATTTATTAATTATAAAAAAAAAACACCACAAAGAAGCTGTGTTAAGAGAAAAATGTGCTACCATAAAACAAATGTCACTTGGCAATCAATCAAAACATTTGGCAGTGATGCATGCAGCCTATGCACTTATCTGCACTTATCAGCGCCCCACTTCCGTTCTTAGAAAGGGATAACACGCACTGAGTGACAAAGAAAAATATCCTTTAACCAGTTAAATCATTTGCATGTTCGAAAGAGCCTTTTCAATGAAAATAATTAATTACTATTAATTTTAAATTTTTTCCTTAAATTTTTACTGTATTCGCATGTCTTCTCAATGCATATTTATGTACTTAGATAAGTGGAATGTCATTTAAAACCACTTCTTTGGAAAAGTATTCTCCGCTAATGCAGCTTATTAATTAATTGCAATTAAACCTTCAAATTAGCTAAGAAGAACTCAATAACCGGATAATAGACTGAGCTTCGCAGCGCCAAGGTGCTTCAAACAGCTTTAATGATAATGTATTCATAACGAATGAAGAACGAAGTGATTAATGAAACTTTTCGAAAGCACAATTTGACATTAAGAAGTTTGCAAAAATAACAACCTGTTTGGATTCTGAATTTTCAATGTTCGTTCTAGAAATTATTTATGCGTGTGCATACTTTTTTTGAAAGCTCATTATTAACGACTTAAATCGCATGAAATCCAGTTTGATTTTTTTTTTTTTAATAAATTTTAATACGAGTTCATTTCTAGCAAGCTCATCGCCAGTAATTTTGGAAAAAAAACACTTGTTAGTTGGTGGTAACGTTACTTTAACGCATATTTGAAATTTTATTTAATTTTTTTTCATTTTCTAAGCTTCAAAATACTCAACAAAACTTCTTTTCCTTACATTTGTAGTTATGTATTAATCGGTAAATTTCAATCGGTAAAATTAGAACCCAAGACACGCTGCTATGACTATTCACTTTTTGTGTCATTATTATTATTATTATTATTTTTAATATGTACACAAGTTCTATTCAGCTTAGCTTCCCCCTTTGTGTTCTAATACTTAATGTATTGGCTTTTAATCGCCAAAAATGTTGCGTAACTGATGATTGGCACTTTTCGTGCCATCATGTTTTTGTTTCAATTCAGGTTTTTTTTTTTATAGTGTAAAGTACAAATTTAAAATGTATGTGAGCTTGTCAGCATGTCTTTGAACTTTTATAGAACTTTTTTTAAATTTCCAGGTTTTTTAAATTGATGTTAAGTAAAAAAATACGAGTTTATTATTTAAAATGTAAGTACGATAAAAATTTAATTAATACAGCATTTAAATAACAAAAACATTTAAAAGCGCTAGAATAAAAAACGCCTAATATGTATGTACTTATATTAGACCGTACCACCTTAAAAAATAAACAAAATTTTTTTTTGTCGTATACCACTGAAGCTAAGGTATTTTTGCAAGACAATTCGTAAAAAAATTATTTTCTTTTGCCGAACCCAGGCCGAAGCCTTTTTACGTTTTTTAACGGCACCTACATTCGGTAATGAAACATTTTTTTCATAGCTCTAAGGAATAGTCAAAATATTTCCTTAGCAAAAATTGAATGATTTTAGGAGAGATTAAATTCTCTGACATTAGGGTGGTATGTTAATGTGAAGAAAAAGTTTCTGCGCATTCAACCAGACCCACCTACCGACGCGCTGAACCCACATCTAAGATCACCTGAACTCGTACACCCTCAAAATTTTGAGTAAATTTCGAAAATTGCGAATTTTTTGCAATTTTTTTCCGCAAAAAAAGTTAAAAGAACGCACCACTTTTTTGTCTGCCGGTGTTATTAACGGACTTCAAAAATGAGGAGGTTATCAATTAGTCGGCATATTTTTAAAATTTTTTTTTTATGTATGTTACCACAGTATTTCGGACAACGTAAACCGATTTCGATAATTTTCTATCGGAAAGATGGTACCTCAAGGGTGGTCCCATACTAATTTGGTTTTGGATCCTATAATTGAATATTGAAGAAATTAACGGTAATCCTAAAATTGTATATGGGAATTGAAGCCCAACCGAGTTTTAATGGTTAAAAATTACTTGTTTTTACAAGCTTTATCTAACTTGCTCTATATGTACATATGTATGTTTGTTAGGGGCAAATCTTGCAATAACTTTTTAACCAACTTCCAGATGACCTTGAGACTTGAAGCTGCATAGTCGGGTCATGATAATGCAATACGAAGAAAGAATTTATCCGATAGGTGGCTCAGGAGTCGAGATATTTGAAAACCCTTTTTTTTTAAACCGATTAGGTCATATTAGATGAAAAAATAGCTCCATAAAAAATTTTTCCGCCAGGTGGCGCAGCGAACTTTAAGCCATTCAAATTCTTCTTCATGCAACCCTGTGTTTGTATACATTCTGAATGCATCACAATTTTTCAATTGAGACATTTATGCATTCTAAGTATTTAATTTATTGATTGAAAGAAAATTCCACGTTTTTAATTGGTACAATTCTCACTTTGCTTCCGTTTTTATATAAAACTAATCAGCTCATTTTCAACCAAAAATTGCCTCATGTCAACTTTTAATTCAACTAGTCGCCTGTGAAAAATCCCCTCATGTAAAGACGCTTTTATTCCGTATGAAATCAAATATATTGATGGTAATTTTCCAAAGATATTTATAGATCATCTAATTGGTTAAAGTGGTCTACTGCCGAGGTCACTTGACGCCAGATATCTGTTTTCATTCGTTCTTTTGAAATTGAATTCATTCTGTCGGCTCTTTATTCTTAACACTTACAGTTATTATGGCATTTAAAAAAAGGTTGGAAACATAAAATCGGAAACTTATATATATATATATTTATATATATACATTTATGTTTAAATTTATTAAACTTTTATATATATACACACACACACACATATATATATATATATATATTCCTAGATAGATATGCACATATGCAGATCTATAATTGCAGTCTTAAATTATGTCATTAATTATGTCAACTTGACACCATTAATCAGTTTCACATACCGTTGTGCTCATAATTGTGCAATAATTATTTATTAGGAGGATTTTTTGTGCATACAAACTCTTGAAATCTTATCATATCAGCTTAGTCGCAAGCATTTTATTTTATTTTTTTTAGGTTTTTTCTTTTCACTAGCGGTGTGTACATACATACATATGCATATGCATGTATGTATGGGGTTTCTTTTGTCGCTTTTGTGCGTTGATAACGTGAAATTTCTGCACTCTCAAATAAGACCTTCGATAGCTCAGTTGGTAGAGCGGTGGACTGTAGAGTGTATAAGAAACAAAGTAGATATCCATAGGTCGCTGGTTCAAATCCGGCTCGAAGGAATTCTTTACTTTTAATTCCATTTATTTAATTTTTTTTTTAACATACAAATTTTTATTGTTCCTGATAAGTCACGCTCTTGTTTATATTTCGCTCAAACGTCTAATTGCTAATTGTCAAATTGCCAAATATGAGTAAACTTCGAATTACGAACTTGTGCTGATAGTATTTTCCATAACTTTTTGCTAGCCTTTTACTGTACTACAAAAAGATTTCTATGTTAATTTTATAGACAGTGTGTGAGAAAAAAACACAAAATTGTGTACTTAATAATTTATATGCAAATTTTGTTGCACTGCATAGCTCAGGCTGTGCAATTAACACATCGCCATTTTTATGGGAAATTCTAAAAATATGTATCTTTATATACTCAGGTGAGGGTGTGTCTGGTTGCAGTAAATATTTACATACGTAGACTCGCTTGGAGGTATTTCGCTAGCACAAGTGGCTGAAATTTTGGGTAAACGCGTAGATCAAAGCCCTTTTTTTGTGTCTGCCGCTTCGGCGCTGCTTGAAAAAGTTCTACTTTTCACCTGAACAAATCGACTTTTGACTTGCTGAAAAAAAAAAATTTTATTATTACATATATGTATGTAACCAAGCAAATAATAATTGTAAATGTTAAATGGCTGAGTTAAATACTTTTTTTTTTTAATTTTCAAGTAAGTAACTAAGCGTCAGTATTACAGTAAATACAAACGAAAATGTACGAATAGCAAAAATATTAAAAACAAAATACGTATCAATTTATGCAAGCATTTGTACATTGGCGCGCAATTTGTGTGATAGCCCACGACACCTGTTGAAAAAACAATCGAACTAATTCCTTAAGTACTCAGCCAATCCGCAATACACCGTTCGGCCACACGTTCAAGTGGCCAAGCCGTCGTCGATAAGACGATCATGCAATCGACCGTGCATATACACTCCATGTCAAAATTATAACCGCACCACATAGTGACAAGTTTTTAAAATAAATTTTTTATTTTTCAATATTAGTTATTTTTTTTATGAAACTACAGTTTATTCTTTAATAAAAATTGTGCAGCCCCAAATTCAAATCACATTTAAAAAAATCAAAAAAAAATCCATAAAAATTTCAAGCTTTTTAATTAGAATTATTAGAAAAATTTTGAGTATGCAGTTTGAAGTAGATAGGACTTGCTGTTGATTTTTGATAGAATCAAGAAAATTCGCTGACAAAATTAAAACACACTGCAGTATATGGGATTGCACACAATCAAAGCGACGACGAATTTCGCTTGATAAAATTTGGCTAGAATAGATTTTCTTTTAATTAAGTCACTTCCGTCGGTCACAATATCATCTGCATATGGAAAAATACCTTTGTTTCTTTACTTTTCAGGATTCATATTTTCGATTTTTTATTCTTATTTGTCATTCAGCTGCATTCACAACACTGCACTGCGCAATTTCGTTCTGTTTATAATTTAAGTTTGGCGAATTTTATATGGAAGAATTTTTTTTAAATGGACTAATGTTTTATTTTAAATAAACTATACTTTTACAAAAAAATAAATAAAATTGAATAACAAAAAATGAATAGTTAAAACTTCGAAATAAGTGGTGCGCTTATAATTTTGAGACGGGGTGTATGTACATACATATATTGTTCATACGTATTTACATATGTATGTATGGCAAATGTGTCCTCTCCACACTGGCTAGCGGTGAGCTGTGAAAAGTGAACGTGAATTTTGTTATTATTATCGCTTTCGCTTTTTTCTGTCGATTTGTTTTCATTACCACTTCGACACGCGCCTTCTTATATCTTCTTTTCTACTTCTCGCTCTTTCGTCAGAGCCGTAGGTAGGCAAGCGGGTTGTGTGAAGGGAGTGTAAAAATTTTCGCCGTTTTGACTTTGGCTTCCGCATGCTAATTTTTCTGCGTGCTCGCAATTTTTATTTACATTGCCTTTGTATTTGGTATTGCTGTGATTTAATATTGCTTTGAAATACTATTTTGATTTTAAATTTATTTCTTTTTTGCAATTAAAGGAATTTAAATGCATACAAGCAGACATTTACGCATAAATAACTACATATGTATGTATGTACCTACATAGTACGAAGGAATGTATAGATTTGAATGTATTTGTATAGATTTATGAATGCAGCAAGTGGTGACACGTTTGGCTGAACGCACTTTTTCTTGAGTTTTTGATTTTTCGAATTATGGCACTCTTTCAGCAAAGGTACGATATGTAGATGTACGTATGTAACATGTCTGTGTGTACACGTTTTTTCAGGTATTTGACCGACCTTGAAGTAAAATTTCCATATGACGTTTTTCGCGCAGAGGTAATTCTACTGGAAGGCTTTTTGTGTATGCAATTTTTTATCGTCCATTGAACCTGGTATCATTGAACTAGATGATAGTTAAGTGATAATCAATGCGATCAACGATGCATTCTGTTCTATAGCAGCAAGATATATTTATTTACGTAGTCGATCTCGGAAGAAGTGCTCATCTCAGGAGAATATCCTGTTTTCGCCAGATTTTCTTACTTTCGTACGAATCAAAAGTGTTGTTTAGAAAGTGCTGCCTGAATCGATTGAAATAAACATTAAGCGAAGGGGGCTATGTCTAGTGAATACGGCAGTGGATGTTAGGCTTGCTAGATTCGGCTTTGCAAGTAGGTTTTCACTGGTAAAGCAAAATGATGTTTGAGTTTATTAAGTCTGAAAATCAGCTTGCCATTAAGAACAGTCAGTGGTGGTGAGCAGTGTTGCCGGATGGTTGTAAATCAACATGCTATATGAGCTTAAAAAAAGCCAACCTTGATTTTCTTTTCTTTATTCTGCTATAGCTTTTTGTAAACGCTTTAATTGTATTTCTAATGCATAATATTTTTCAGATATTCTAAAGCTCGATAGTTTAGTGGATCGATTTTTATTCTGCATTGATGATGCAGTCTTCGTCAGGGTTACCAGCGTCATATAAATGGTGATAACAAGTACTGAGTGAGAATTGATTTTTAATATTTTAGGGCTTTCTGCGAAAACTGTCAGATTGGAATTGAAAACAAAAGTGGTTAACGTTTTACTTTTATCATTTCATTTTTTAGCTTTTATTAATGATTCAAAACATAATATTCGTATTCACCTAAATACCTAAATGCCTCGTAACCACGTAAACCCCGTAAACATCCTAAATTTTGTATGGAAAACCGGTTTATTTACGCAGTTTACGTGGGTACCCATGCGTGAATAAAAATTCAAAAATTTTCACCACCGAAAATTTCTTGTTACCTTAAAAAACAAAGTAATAATCTGGCATTACTATTTTCTTAAATTCGAAATGTTTTAATTTTCAAGCTCTTCCATTTGATACCCATATTGAGAGGGTTTTGAGAAAAATAAGCAATCCGCCATTTCGTGGTGGCGGCCATCTTGGATTTACAATAGTGAATATACATAATTGTATGATCATCAGAATTAACGGTGTGTACCAAATTTCAGATCAATAGG